GCGCAGTGTAAGAAGGGCGCAGAGGCAGGAGGGAGTCGGCGTTCCGTCTTACCTTGTAATTTACTCACCGCGGCCCGAGGCTATCCATCTCGTGGCATAACTCAGGGATGGGCCCATCAGGCCCCAAAAATGTCACTTTACGCGGGGTACCCACTCGCAAGCTTATTCCTATAACTGTGACCCTCGGGCCACCAGCACCTTTCTCCGGACCCGTACGTAAGGGTCGCATGCGTGCCACTGGTACGTGTCATTTGACAGGAGTCATTTTTACTCGGCAATTGTTACCAACCTCTTAAACTCGGTAAAAAAGATCGTTCACAGTCTCTCCAGATTCATCTTCATGAATCCAGTGTAATATTCCGGAAGGTAATCGCCTTCAATTAGGAAGTTACGCCTTTGCCTGATTTTCATGGAAATACGTCATTTTTAATTCGAATTTCACGGACAATTTCATTCGTCATTTACACCGTTATTAGTATCAATTTTAATCTTAAGACCACTCACGTTGAATTTCCTGAAGCGATTAGAAATTTTTTTTTTCTAAATAACTCGATCGAACGATTGACTGTATCATTTTTATAATTTATAATTCTTCGATATTGGCTACTCATTGTATACGTATCCCAGTATTTATCGTACCGGTAAAGGCGAAGTTGTCTCTAAGCACGGCCCTGAGGTCCAAGCCATGCTTCAGCACAACGCTGCATACGTTTAGCTAAATTACACTTTATATATACCATTATTATTTCATGGACGGGGGGGGAGGCCCCCCCTTAACGTGCCCTCTCATGACTAACGCCTTTTTCTCTTCGATCCACCTCAATCCTCCAGCCGCATCCCGTGAGATACGCAACTGCTCGCAGACGCGCAAACACTCATTCGATATCCCATCCCGTTTCCGACTTTCTATCGGTTTGGAAAAAGAAATTGCTCCGCAAACTCAGGCTCTCCCCGTATGGAAATCTTCGTGACCTATGTACCCCGCGGGCTAAAAACTGTCCCCGTTTTACTTTTTAGCGCTACATAAAAGTTTAACGGTTTCGGTCTTCCGTGCTCGATTAAAGTTCGCGAAATTAGATAGGAAATTGCGTCGTTATTTGCCAAACGCAGATCCTTATAATCGATAACGACCTTCTATTTCATTCTCTGCCAGTAAACGAATGTAATGGTGCACCTTTTTATTGTACAACCAATTCACGGGGTTATCCTGAACGTTGTAAAGTAAATCATTCGTCAGCATCCGATAACAAAAAAATACAGTTCCTCTCGCTATATATATATATATAACGCTCTCAGTCGATCCGCAGCTTCTTATAAGAAAAGACATAACGCTAGAGACAGAAGCGCATAATTCTCCCTTCGGCCCGACTCGTAAACCAGCCTTGACTTCTCTTTTTCGTGCATCAGCCTTTATCGGAGCCAACTTGATTGCGACGATACCGTTGCTGCCGTTTGATGACCCAAACGATGCGCCTCTCCTTGCCCACAGAAGCGCCAACGATCTTTCAGGGTCGTTAGTTAAAGCCGCGTATGACATACGGTGTGGCCTGCGAGACAGAAGAAAAAGAAAATGTATTAATCCGCCGAAGACTTGAAATGGCGGCGAGAGCATGTACGTGTAAACGTACCCATAGGCCCAGCAGCGAAGCATCGAGCCACTGATGTCCATGGAAGCGATCCAGTGCGCCGGTGGGCACTGAAATCCAATAGGCAGGCGATTGTAGGTTGCACGTTGTTGCCCGTAGTTACACGAGTCGTAGAGAACTTCCTTGGAAATCTCTTCAGCCGAAGGTTCGGTTACACGACTGCTACGTGTATGAAGTGGAAGCTCGAGTTGAAATTCTCTCCTCCGCTAATTGCGGCTAAGCGCTTTCTTCTTGGTTGAGCATTCGAGGACGTCAAAGGGAGCAAGCCGGTAGGACCACTTATGCGTACTGTGCCGGGTCTGCAATTAAAAGTTGCCAACAATTAGTCTTAGAGAGTGCGAGGTTACCAAGACGGTGGTCAGGTACGTGTCACTTAAAAAAAAAAAATGTACCACTACGCAGATAGGAACCCCCGTTTCTGCATGTGATTTTTTTTTTACACCTTCTATCCAAAATTCTTGCTTCTTTGGGATGCGTCGAACTTCCGGTAGCGCCTGGTCACGCCTTCGGACGGGAGTTTATCCAGTGGTAATTAGGTGCATTAATTAAAATTCCTAATGCACATCAATTATACCAATCACTCCCCCCCCCACCCGTCCTCCTCGTTACTTCACAGTCGATCTTCGCCGAGCAACCGGTGCTCTGCCTCGTACTTGTATACTGGGTGATAAGAAAAAAAAATTTAATTTTTTTTTGCATCGTTAATTAAATTTCCTATTAATCAAGTCAACCTGACCCTCTGCAATAAACAATGGCCGTGCTGCCGCGTGCTTCGGGAAATTGGATAGTGGCGTTGACCTAGGTAGTTGTATACTTTGTGTGAACCTTAGGAATTTTTTTTGTATGAACAAAAAAAAATCGGCAGAGTAAAGGCATTAGACTCACTGACGGAGAAGACAGCCGCAAATTACACGAGTTTATAAAGGCAGTAACGCTGCTCAAGATATGCGGGTAATTATAAGTTTCTTAACGCTACACACACGGCACGATAGCTCATAGCGCCAAGTCTCGGCGATTTTCAACGCGGACACACGAAACGGTGCTCGGAGCTAGAAGCACTGTACGCCTTATGACGATTGAATTAACAATTAAATTCAAATGCCGATTACCGCATTTCCCACGGGGTGCGATTCCGCTTTCGTTGATTCGACGCCAACGGAAATTTCACGATTGACTTTCGGCCGTGTATTCTACAAGTCAAAGTCTACGATCGGAACTTCCGCCGAGTTTAATTACCAGTTTTCAATTCGTTAGCGGAGCGCGACCGCTGCGAATACGTGAGCGGAATCGGGCTACATTGCAAAAAATTAGCATGCCCCGCGCGAGCCGCCGCAGTATGGCTAATTCACGTACTTGCGGAAACCGATCGCGAAAGACGTTAGACGTCACTTTTGACCAAGACGATTCGGCGGGACGCGAGGATACACGTAAAAATGCCCAAAAGATCGTCCGGCAGGAATGAAGAATAATTAAAATTTTTATATATAAAAAAACAAGAATTTCGACAATTATAAATGAACGTAGAAGTAAAAAATTTTTTGTATACAAAAATCGTTAAACTTTTTTCTTCCCAACGTTAATACAACAATGTCCTACGTGCAAAACCGCTGAAACATTAAAAAGTATGAACATTTGTATAAAACTATCTTCGCTTCCTGCCGTCCAACCTGAAAACGGTAAAAAGTCAGTTCCACGCTCGAGATTACCCACACGTGCACGTATGGGAGTACGTAAATGCACACGTGTACTTGCCGGTTCGTACATGGACTGCGCCCGTAACTCATCCTGACAGATAACGCTTCAGGGATTTTCCAGTGTAAAACGGAAAACTCTCGACACGAATTGCCGGACGTCATTCAATTTTCGCAACGGTATAAAGGCTCGTGACAATTAATTATTATAAAAACGATTATTTTTCACTATTGCATTACATCGCTATTGCATATTGCATTACAAAGCTCGTTCGCATACTTTATATCCCGTAGCAAAGCCCGTTGCACACCATAGCAAAGTGTACCGCCTGTGACATCCAAAAACTCCCTATACGTTACGTTGCAACGGAGTTGAAAAAAAAGAAATAACAATGCGCATATCCAAATATTATTTTGATATTACAAAAACGTGAATTAACGCTGTCATAACTCAAGCCGAGTGCGCAAACACCAACGCCCCGTAAAATCACGTATTTGCCGCAGAACGAAGTCATTCGGTAACCTCGTAACATAGTAATATCGTATGCGCCCATTGTATTGCATTACGTTGCATTGTATTGCACCGCATTCTACTGTATACGTGAGAGATGCATTTGCGACTGTGCATATAACTCCGCTACATATGCGTATATACACCCTGTACGTTTATTACGTAAAATAACAACGTTACTGTCGCAGGTATTTTCGAAAAAAAAAAAAAAAAAAAAAAAAAAAAAAAAAAAAAAAAAAAAAAAAAAAAAAAAAAAAAAAAAAAAAAAAAAAAAAAAAAAAAAAAAAAAAAAAAAAAAAAAAAAAAAAAAAAAAATACAAAATTTACATAAATACCACATCTAAGCCATCCCCATGCATTTCTTAATCATAGATAGACGGGTCGGTTGATAAGACCGTAAAATCGTAATGCAACTCGAAGTTTGTGGTAACAGTGGTAAAACTTCCTATAAGTCCTCTTGGCACGATCATGAGCTATGTTCAAGTCCTCTTGGTTCGCTGTGTTCAGGGTGTTTCGTGCTTCGAGCCGTTCCTCTTCTGTCACTTCTCCAGTTTGAACAGTCAAGCATTCTCAAGTAGAACTTTCGCGTCGGTCAGAGCAGGAGACAGGCCAAAAATGTTCCGACTCAAATTGCTCGTAACAAAGATATAATTGAAGCAATTAACGAAGGGATGAGAGTTGATTGCTGGCGAAGGGGGTGAAGCCATTACCAGAAGGGGATGGATGAAGGCCACGCCGGAGACAGGGAATACGTGGTAAAGGGTGGACACCTTCCCGAAGGACCCTTCAGATTGTCAAAAGGAAAAAACCTCGAACACGGTATTTGCAAAGGGACATCGAGAGAGGGCGACACGAGTGACCCTTGACGCATTATTTCTCTGAACGTCTTTTCAGCGCATTCCCTTTGTCAGTTAATTCGAGCGAATGTCTAATCCCAGCGAATCGGAGCTTCGGGATGTATAAAAGTATTTGGCGTTATTTTTACAAATTATTAAAAAAAAAAGATTGCACCTTACAATGTAAAATTTTGAATTTTTGTAAATTTATGCGCTACGCTTTGTTTGCTCTTGATGAGATAAAATTTTTGATATTGTCAGACTGATTTATTTTATTTACTGTCATCCCACCGGCAGGGGCTGATATATTTTGAATTGAACCACCCTTTAACTTCACCCTAAATATTTAGGGGAGTCACGGAGAAAGAACAGAACTGGCTTCTGAGAATGCTACATTGTTTGAGGGATAACGCAAATAACATTATAAAATGCCAGGAATCTACGTGACACGTCGACCGTAATTCGACCAGATATGAAAAATAATCTCAGCCAGTAATACATATCAATTGCGAGGGCAAAACAATGGACTACGGGCGACCTGCCAGGAGATTCGCAACATTTTACTTTATATTTCGCGGATCTTATTTTAACGGACCGTTGAAACGAGATTCTATGCGAAATTCACTAGGAATATTCGACTCCAAACGAATTTTAAGCTTTCGCACAGAACAGTGTCGCCGTTTTACATTTATACAGTGAAAACGTCCTACGTATTTCTCACGAGGTAACAGATTTCTCTGTGCGGCTTATCGCGCTTTAATACGAATTTATTCGCTCCACATATGAATTTCCTGTATTCGTGCCAACGCAACAATATTTTCCAAGAAAAATTGCTATTCATATCCGTTCCGTTATCGTTCCTAGATTTAATCGATTTTACGCTCTACGTACACCTATCCACACACATGGCACGTATGATTACAAATCCAATAAAAAATAACACACTCGTATTCGCAACATGCATACATACGTCACACACGTTCCTCATACTTTCATTGACTTGATGCGCTCGAAATGCGGCAAGTTCAAAATCAAAAATAATTTCAGCACGACAAAGCTCTGCCGTATAACCATTTTAGAATTCGCCCTAGTCTTTAATATTCGCACCGCTTACGGATAGCGAATATGCAATAAGCAATCGTAACGTTCAGCTCACTGAGTAAGTACGCCATTGTTTTCCATCCTGATAGGATCCTACAATATTTCATAGTACTTCGAGACCCGAGGTATATCAAACAAGAATAGCCAAGAAGTTAAAAACAAGAAAAGTACATTAAAAGACCGCGAGTACAGTCATACAGAAGATTTCAATGGTTAATTAAAACGCTACCGTGCAAGATACAATGAATGATAACAGCCATGGATAACTTATAGATAAATCTTCTCAGACAGAATAACATACAATTCGCAATCTCATGTGCATCAATATAACCATAGCGTCTCAGAATTCAAATAAGTATGAACATCTGTTACTCTCGTTTCCGACTGCTAATTAATTCGCAAATGACTTTCCTAAATGAATTCGTTAAAGAATAGCTTAATTGGTAGAGCGAGATACAAAGTTTATGTATTATCAGGTTCCTCGGCATAAATTTCCAAGTACTTTCCAGTCGACGACTTCCGGCGGAGCGCGGAACGTCATCGGCATTTCAATTACAGTTTGTTATTTCTCAGTAGCGAAAAAGAAAACAGCAACCCTTTTACGTATTCATGAGGATCACTGCTTTATGCAATCTTGGCCACGACCTCCTTTTCTCGATAGGGACTGTGTATAAGAAATTCGTGATATAATTCAAGATCCGATATATCCGCGGTAGCTTTCCTGAGAATGAAATTTATCAGCCCGAGAGTTTCGGTGAACTATCTGAGAAATGCTCCTTAAAGTACTTCGTGCAACAAATATATTTCTTCGCGGTGTATAGGTGCGCCGACAAGGGAATGATAAATTTAAGAGGAAAGAACGTTAATTACGTTTCACGGTGTAATTATGATCTTCGAAGACATTAAACAAATATTGTGCAGCCTAATGACGGTCCATGATAATTAATAATCGTGGCACATTTATCGGGCTTTGGTCAGCTCGAAAGGGATGGGGATCAATCATTTGGCTGCTGTATAACGCGAGTCTAATTCGTTACGGCTGTTGGCTCCGTTATTACCGTTACACTGATTATTATTGGACGATGTATAAATTAATTAACGGATACAGAGATAACCGGGCAGCGGGTAGTCACGTGTACGTAACAACGATATACGTAATACTTGTGACGTTTGAATTTCTACGATTAAAAGACGATGTATTCGGCCTACGCGAATTTCATCGTGTTTAATGGCGAACAGTAAAAGGCAGAGGAGGACACGGGCGAGACAAGACAGTATAGGATTTCGCAGCAGTAAATTGTCTTTTATACCGCATGACCTCGGTAGCTGTAAAAATTACGCGGAACAACGTTGCGTCCGAAGGAAAGATGGCGCGCGCGGAATGAGAGAGGAAAGAGCCTTCCCTTGGCGTTTGAAATATGATTGCCACCTTGATATAAAGTAACCAGCCCGACTTTACAGCCCACTAAAACCAGCGACTCGGGACTGGGAATAAAATGGAGGACCGGACGTGTCAGAAGTTTGCATCGGCTTCCCACGAGCCATGAAAATCGTTTTGTTAACGGCAGCGACTTTCGGTTGTCCCACGAGGCACCGGTTCGCAAGAGTAGCCAGAGTCGAGTCCAAGAGAAAGTGCATTGGTAAGACCTGAAACGGAAAAAGATAATGTTTATAGAATTTTCACTGGCATCCAGAAAGTACAATCAGTCATTGTATTGAAGGTATGCACAGTATGGCTGGCTGCAAGAGAAATTGAAGTGGCGGAAATACTACCGTGGCTGATGACGCTACTAGCACCTCCTGGTGGAAGATGAGCCAAGTAAAACAAGTTGACAACCGGATGGCTTTGCCAGTACAGAAAGTAGACGGTTTCCTTGGCTTCCTTTCTTAGTTGCACCACTTGCACATCCACTGCATGAACTTCCACTAGGTACAGCGTGGTGGGTGGTATACCAAGAATATTTTACAAGCACAGTGCCACGAGCAAGTACTAAAACGCTATATTTAGTGGTAGGTCTTTGGCGTGCTGTTCAAGTAATGAAAACTCTGAAACAGATTTAACCACCGTTAGAGAAACTATGTTGCTGTCTCTTCGAAGACGTAACACATGGAAGCACGCGAAAGAGTATCGGAGAATTTGATTACCATACCTCGATCCGAGAGCTGGGACTACGCGAGTCAATTTCGAGTTGACCTCCTGTCAAAGAGATCAAAGAAGAAAAGAAAGGAAAAAGAAAGAAAAAAAAAGATTGAAGGACCCATCACGAAATTCCATGTAGAGGCACATTTCTCGGTGTAATCTGGAAAAGAAATTTAAAAATTTTTTGATTTTCCGACGATCCTCTAGCCACGTGTCAATCCCAGCAAAGGCGCCAAATTCGAACTGAAATACGCACCAAAGCCCTTTGAACTCTCCGTACTCGGCAAGTAATAAATTGAAAATGGCAATGAACTGTCATCAACAGATTCAACGTAGTGGCGACTGTATTAGAATCTATTTAGAATGAATCCACGGATTTCACTACCGACAGTCCTTTGAAAAGGACTATCCTTGACAGTCTTAAGAACCCCCGTTGCGTAAATTCAACGACGGAGCCTCTTGGATCTTCAATTTCCACCCCCTATTCAATCGGTCTATTCTGTACTTATTTTTGAAAATGGTCCCGACGATTATCGACGAACCGAAGCATCGGTGTTATACGCTCCGTCTTAATCGACCCACAAACCAAAAATTGTATAAGAGACACCACAGGACCTTCCATTGTGCTACGACCCACGTTATTACCTAACCTAACAAAACGTTTTAAATCGTGGAAATCCCAAAGCCAGAGGGTCACTGTCAACTTCTACAAACTAAAACACCCACATACCTATATACATACCTACGCTACTGTTTGCCAGAAAAAAAAATGTCAAAGGGTTCCAAAGCACATGGGGATATCGAGCCATAGCGTCCAAAAATTAAACGCACTGCACGTGACAAGCAACTAAATATATAAAAAAAAAAAAAAAAAAAAAAAATTTGTGAACTTCCTCCAACAAATTGACTCGATCCGTAACAACCTACCTGCATACGATATACTCGAAATCCCGTTAGCTTATTGAGAACTGATCAAGCAAACTTGCAACAATGCAACTGGCTGCAACGTAACTGCACGTCCGATGCACGCAGCTCGTAAATAAACTTTTTCGCCCAGATTACACTTTCGGAAACATAATAAAACTTGCACTTATCCACATCCCCCTGTTGTACCGCCGGAAATCAATAGGCATATCCCAACCAAATCAATCTCCTCGTACGTAGTCATTCGCTGCACATGCACTTCCCGTGGTCTTATTTCTAACCGCATGCACATAGGTGCAATGGCTTCGCAGTATCGAGAGTCATAATCGCATCGCTCCGAAGGATCCAATATCCATACGACGAAGCATCGCCGTAGCCGCGATGCAAATGCAATATTCGAATAAAAGCGTGAACACGGAAAGTCGTGATTTGAAGGAATAAAAAGAAAAAAGAAAAGCAACGCGTCTCAAAGTGCATCAGATGCATCCAGGGACTTTGACGAGCGATAAAAATGATAACGTGCTAGAAAAAAGCGCGCTACAGCCAAACCTACATTACGAACAGTTGGCTGAGTTAGTGTCCTTAAAAATTCCTAGGATCCCACGCGCTACGTGCTTTACGAAGTAAAATGTCGTTACGTACCGTTAGGAAAGTCCCTGCTGACGCGTGTTATAAAACGGCAAAACACGTATCCCTCTTTACTGTGGCAGACGCGTATGAGCTCCATGGTAAACGTGCGTCCAGTTTCTGGCCATCAAGAAGGTCCCCGAAGTCGAGTAGCTTTTTTTTGGTCATCGGTTGAGGACTTTTCTGAAAAAGAATTTAAAAGTTCAAGCGCCAGGCGAGAAGAAAGGTGCAACTCGCATCTCGCATTTTGTACGGGGCTGTTACGTAAGCGGAGCAACATTGGTTTGGTACCGAGGTGCCTGGATGCGGATGCTGCTGAACCAGCAGAGAGGAGAGACATTAATTTCTAAGCTTTATGCGGTTTCTTATTAGAATCTCCACGGAGAGATAGAGCCGCAGCTGCTCTCCAGAAATATGACTCTATTTTTCGTTCGTTCTCCGGTTATTTGCGCGACCCCTGCAAAAGGATGCACGGGCTGCGGAATAATGTTGGCTTTATAAATTGCATAAGGTGGCGGTTGGCGGTTTATGAAAAAAAAATATATATACGGTTGCAGTGTGATTTTTTTCTTTTTTTTTACGGATCGACTTAAATTAATATTCCCAAAATTTTGGCTTGGATGAAAATTCAATTCACTGATTATTGCGGTTATAATTAAATGGCCGATTAATTGTAAGCTTTTGGATTATTATTTAATGGTATAATTGGCTTTGTTAATTATTTCGGGATTTTAGTGTACGAAAAAGATACACAGTACTGGGGAGTGTTGGCAATTTTCGAAAAACCGAAAAAAAAATGTGTTGCACGATATGCGTTTTAACGAGTGAGGATGCTGAATAATTTTTGGGTGATAAAATACACATATGTGCTCCGGGTCAATGGAAATCCTATAATGCTTGTGGTACTCGTACCGTGCAGTAGTACCAATCGGAATGAGTAAATTAGCAAAATAGCGATTTAGGGGAAAAAAAATAATTAAATTTCGAAATTTGTAAAAGTTGAAAAATTTGCTTCAAGTTAATCTAAATCGCCTGACCGATCCGAGATGAATAATAAGCGCACAGCGCTGATCGCAATACTGGTGGCGAATTTTGGAACTACGTAATATAAGTAAAATGCATTAAGGGATGAATTGCATTGAAAAACATAATCCATTCCCAGGCGGTTCCATACGCAGGGAAATTGACTCTGTCGAATTATCAAGTGACAGATAGTCCATAATAGAAAAAATAATCTCGGCGTGGCGAATTTAATTAGTTGCATTATTAGCAAAAATAAAAATGAATAAATATTTACATCCGTATCCATCCGCTGTGACGGTTCATATAGTGAAAACGAAATGCATGAATATGAAAGCAAATATTTGAAATGTCAGCAATATTGATGCCCGCAATTGAATCGTATATAAAATCAGATTTCCCGATATGCAAATGCATCGTCAAGGTAATTACGTAAATTAACCAGCAATAGACAATTGTCAGTGAAACAAATTTTTGTCTCTTTGTACAGTCCGCCAATTCGCACGAATAACAGTCACTCGGTCTTCATTGAAATTCGCTGAACGAAGCTTATGAATTTTTTCCGAAGTACTTGTATTTTTTGAAAAAATGACGTTTCACATGTAAAATAGGTCATACAAAAATCTAACTTGTTCTCCAGCATAAAATATCACGCTACCCCACGATATTTGCCCGAGATGAAATATAAGCATACGTGAAACTTTGTTGGCTTTACGATGAGCCATCTAATTTCAGCACGGCTGACAAATTGTCCCCGAAATTACGCGAACCTTTACGTGCAAAATCTCGGCGCTCCTCCCTGCAACGAGTCAGCACGCGAGAAAATTCACGAAAGCCCAAAGGCACCGACCGCACCCCTATCATTATCATCACTCAAAAAGCAGTACTTCCTCTCAGTCGAAAGACATGCTGATACTCCTTAAGAGAGAAAAAAAAAAAGACAATTGGCACTGATGTTTCACCCCTGAAAAAAAACATCCCTCTACAAATTCAATAACACGTATCTACCAGCCTTTTGTTTTTTTCGTACATCCACCTGCCGTAAGAATCCGAAAATCTTGTAAAAAAATATATGGATCATCCCTTAAATTTTTACGTATCGAGGGTAAACACCCCTGGCACAGGTAGCTCTACCGTATCCAGTTACGGGGTTAAGGGAGGAACAAGAATTGGTCGATAGGAGAATATCAGTGAAAAGAATACCCAGGGTAGTTTTACTACCCCTTTTCCCACGGGGGTTGAGAGCGGGCTAATGAGGGATTATCATATTTCAAAGAGCAAGATTGAAACAGAACCCCACGTACAACGTTATCGATTTAATACAGCATTATCCTGGGAACGACGATCGATTAATTGAACAGGTCGAAATAATATGTCTTGCGGAACGCAGAAGAATCCAGACTCGCAATGAGGGAGTTCGTGCTGGATACCTTGAGGGCTACGTCATTCATCCATCCTGAATGGTGAACACTTATCCAGCAGCTTATCCAATCGGATTGGTCCGATCGGTATCTAAGATCGTTCCTTCCCAAGTCCACCTTCTGGTAGTCAATTAAGGACCTAGCGCGAAGTAGATAGACTGGGGTACCGGGTGTACCATACGTATAGATAGCACAAGGCGGCCATATTGGTTGACGGTTATGTGACTACGAGACAGCAGCAGGTGGAAGAGAAAAATTATTTTAACAACCGCTAACGGATCTCGCTGCTGTGAGTTCGAAGCCAATTCGAATCTAAAGGCGCGTTCTTAAATCAGCTAACGCTCGCGGCATTCACCTGTGGTAATGGCTGCATAAACTGCCGACTCTCGAGACGACCATTTCGTTTTTTACTTCCCTTACAAAGACGTATTTCGCTGTACGAATCACGAATCTCGACAGGTCGCCGTCATTAACGTTAATTTAGTCCCTGGTAAAGACGCGCGGGAAATTTAAAAATTCAAAATTCTTAACTTGACTATGAGACGAGGATAAATTTATAGTATGATAAATATATGGGATGACATTCCTAAGAAAAATAAGTTTACGGTTCTCGTGCGATTTCATTAATTATTTTGTAAATAATTAATACGTCAAAAACATCGAATGATCCCTCTCGTATGAATTACACGTTAATTCGTAAAAACTTTTAATCAATTTCGAATTATCCATAGTATATGTACTTTTTGTTAACTTTACGTCCATATGTATATATATTTCGTTTAATTCGTTTTACCATAAATCTATGCGGACATTGTAACTATAGACATTGCTGCTTCGTTTGTTTTTATTCGCACTTCGATTAGCTTCTCTACTATTTTCAACCTTCCGCTGTTGGTCGCACTGAAAATTTCTCACGTGACTGCCTATCCAGCGCACGATGCAAATAACGGCTGACAACAATGAGCGCGGCGGCGAACTGAAAATAATACTTTAACGATAATTCGCCTCGTTGAATTACAAAGTCTGTTATTTCTTTATCCTGCTGCCCTTTCTCGTAATCAGAATGTAATTGTGATGCATTGCCAATTCGTATAATTAATACTTGCCACGATTCCATATCCAAGCAACTGATAAGAACCGACGTATTAAAGCCAATTTACAATAATAACGAACAGCGAGCGAACTCGGGCGTCGTTCCATTTGTAATGCGATAAGATACGATGAATCTCCATCTTTCATTACAATAAATCCTGAACGTTGCGAATTTTTCTTCTTTCACACTCGACCGGTCGGACGAGCCGCAATAAATGTTATATAGGTATATAAAATTCAGGCTGCATCCGCATGGCCATGCTGTATATAATCACAATTAGCGTCCTATTAGGCACCGAATGTGCCTTCTTATTTATGTCCAACATTAACATACCTACCGTCGTGTAAACTTATATCATTTTCATCATTCCCCACCCCTTTTACACCCCATGGCCATCCCTTCGTTCCTACCCCTCGTTTGACAAAGACACGCATCGCTCGTTAAATTATTATTTTTTTATTAAATCGACAAATCACTTTTATCACGTTACACTAGCGAAATAGCACTTGAGTATTTTACTAATTTTTCACGCTCCGGATTACGCCGATATAGGAAAAAAATGAAAAAAATTGTATCCTCGGATTTTCGTTATTCGAAAATTCGCAATTATCCTGTTCTACACTTTTTTCGTTTCATTTTTATCTCACATTCCTTAACTCGATCACGCTCCGCGCCACGGACACTGGGTGCGCTCTCGCAGAAAACCGGATATCATATCCGCGAGTCAAAGCTCGAAACCATTTCTCATATAGAAGAAAATAATTTATTATAAAAGCAACGATGAAAAATTCGACTCGTGCTTCGACGCCGCCTTTCATCGATGCAATAAATATCAGCTCGTGTGCCGTTATTTACAGGGCTTTACGCTGTTTTACGACTAAACGTGCCTTTATATGATACGAATTCGGTGCTCCATAATAAGTCGTGGTCGCATAAATATCAATGGTAATTGAATAAACTGAACTTTGCATGCCAATGTCGAGACGCTCTATGGCTAATAGCAAAATAGGCCTGAATAAATACGCGCTCGTGCAGCTTCCCTCGTGGGTCCATACGGCAAGCCCAGGGTCGCATCCCACCAATAGTAAATAAAATATCAGTATATTAAGAAGTAATTCCATTATCCAGTGAGTCACAATTCGTTTTAACGTTATACAAAGCACAGCGCTTACCGATCATTTACAATACTTATATATACCAACAGTGGACAGGGATGCTGATATAAGAAATAACGGCGAGACTCTGATAAGAAAGACTGACCTGATAAGATCTTGGAAAGTCAAAGAACTGGCCGAAAAAAAAAATAGTTAAAAATATGAAACACGGTACGAAAACGTTTAAATAAAATTTGCCAGGTATCCACGACATGGTTGAGGCCCTGAGGTCGGGGCCTTGCCGTGGTCCCATAGTCCCGTAGCGGTCCCGCAGTGGTCCCTTGGTATCGTGAGGACCACAGCGGGGTGTCTGTGCTTTTCTCTGTATTAATAACACAACCTGGCCACCGCTGGTCATATATCCAGTAAAATAATAATCACAATGATGCGTAACACGTTCCGTATTCGCAAACATATTTGCGAGCTCGCGAGAAGAATTCATAAGAATCGCAATATACAGAAATTTCTAAAAATACGTTAAATCTAAATGTAAAAATAATCTTAAAAATTTCTTTACCCAAATTTCCATTTTTCTTTACATTAACCGTTACAGTGAATTTCAATGAAACATTGTGCACGTAATTCTTAAACGTTCTCGTAACGCGATAGAGATACGTATTACCAAGTTGGTTTACAAATGGAATTTAAAAATCCCGCCCTTCTCCCACTCCGTCCCCAGCAGTCGTAAAGCTGACAAGCAAACAGTCACATTCGAGAGTTAATAGGGTAACTGTACGGATTTACGGGGTTTCTAGTTTCTGGGAAACTGCCTGGATAACGAATGATTCTGGCGGCCCCCCATTTGCCGAACGCATCTCACGCAATTTAGTACTTTATGTAGAGTGGCGCGTAGACGCACAATGCGTTCGTAGAATGTACGCACGTATCGCTAACAGGACGTATATGCAAATCCTGAACGGAATTAATTTTTCGCATGCGCCGCGTACATGGCAAAGCGTAACAGAAAGGAGGGTTGTGCCTCGTTCAATTAATTACAAACGTGACCATCATACATCAGCGATTTTCCCATTTTTTGTTTCCCCTCAAATTTCGAGAAATCCAACGCCGACGACTCCGCAATGTATCTGCCATTACGTGCAACGCCATTCGGTGACAGATTTACTTAGAAAATACGTTGAAATTGAATTTCCACTGATTTCTTGAAAAACTCCTTAGAAGCCTCTAATGGGATATAATGAAACGGCCGGTAGGCAGTTGATCCAATTATCGCGCAAGGCAATTTTCTTATTTGGCTTCGGCAATAGCCGTTTAAGAGGACGCCTGCCATTTAAGCACTTTAAATCATTGGCGAGTGCATCGATACGATCGGCATATTGCTAGCTTGTAATTTCTCAAGCATAATACAGGACAGATTATTGTATTCATCATCTTATTGGTATGTCAATTGCGGTTCCGGCCTGTCCTGATGGCTTATCGAATATCGATACCCTTATCGGAACGTCATTACCTGGAAACAGTAATTGCCATTATTAATAACGGATCAGTGAAATTCTGTAATTTTACAAGAGTTGTAATTCGATACAAATTCGATTGTTTAAGAACAAAAAAAAATTAATATACGTTACCTTGTATATTTTTTATCCCAATTATTATTGCTCCCATTTCAGGATACCGAAGATGCAGTGTACGTCATATAATGTTTATGCGCATATTCGCCTATTTGTCCAGAGATTCCACGAGCGTGTTGGGTCCAGGTTGGATCACGATGTGGTCCGATGTCCGCAGCATGCACAGTCGTGATCATCGACCCCGAGAGAACGTTTCACTGACGTAACGTTCGTGTTCGGTTGGCTACCGATTTTTTTCCTCGATCCATGGAATCTAACAATTTAGAAAAATCTAAGACCCTGAGGCCACGTGCTTGAGCCTTAGATAGGCATCGTTTCGAAAACAATCGGCGAGTTATCGCATCGCGATCCGCCATTGCTCGTCGTTGCCGATTCGATCGAAATCAAACAACGGATTCTTCAGTTGGCTACCCCTCATTACTTGCACGTAGAAATTCTACGATTGTCACCTTTTCATCAATAAATATTATTTTTTTGTGTTCGTTCGTGGCGCTGCTGCTTGGCGCGTCTTATTTAACGGACGACGCAATATATATGTTGATCAAAATAAATATTTAAAAATGTATCAAAATAGCCATCGACACGTGGTACTGTTTTCCACTGAATAGGTATCAGGCGTTTTCAGTTGACACCAATGAATTGTAGTGTGTCGGTATCCAATAGGCAACAAATGAAAGCAGGCATTCGTGAAATCGACTAATTGTCAAAAAATGTTTCATTAAAATCCAAATGAAAGGATGAAAGCAGCAAGAAATTGCATCGGATCTGACGTCCAACTTGATTTGTCAAACTGTACAATTAACGGCCTTTGTTACGGAAGGAATGTCGAAAAATAATTATCGACAGAGCTGTATAGCAATCCACTGTGGAATGACAATTGACTGGGGAATGCAGGCAAATTTCACGAAAGTACTCAATAGATCAAATTGAAACTGGAAAAGTATGCTCGACTGAATTGGCAAGCCTGTATTTTTTTTTTTTTTTTGCAACAGGCCAAGTATGGCGCTCTATGCATATATCCAAATGCGTCTCTGGTTGACAATAAAAGTTCATGGAGGATTGATCGAATTTATATGGTCAATGAGCGAAAGGGGCAATTCGCATACTGAAAATTGAATATGCATGCCAGACGCGCAGTGGAGGTAAACTGAAAATATGGAGGGTGTATCTTTTACAAATCGATCCCACACTATAAGTTATACTTAAGTTAACGTTTACTCGTAATATGCTCTCCCGCGCCGCCTTGTAAATAACCATCACACGTACTTAATCCGGAAAAATCGGACGGTAACATGCGTTTCCACGAGGAGCGAGCGGTCGTTCTTTAGATTTATTGATTACAAATTGCACGGTGATCGATCGCTAATGATACCGCGAGTCTGGGACGGGATGTATTTATGAATCTACAAAATATAGCCTTATTAAATCATCGCACGCCTCATCCTGTCTGAAAACGTTGGATAACGTTCAAGGTGTACTACGTAACTTGGCGTCTGTCACACTGTTAAGCTAGAGAATCAAAATGAAAAGAAAAGAAAAAGAAAAAAAAAACTTAAAGGAATCTCGTCAAGCAAATGTCAAGCGTCGTGATCCGTCGTTCGCTGCAGCGCGCATTGCAGACGTTGGACGCTCGACGTCGAAAGGCCGGAGTGGCTGGAATACCAGAGTAGTTTGTTCCCGAAGAGGTGACGGTGAGAAGGTAGAAAGGAAGCCGAGGAAAGTCGTGGGGAACGAAGTAGAAGAGGTGGTAGTAGTAGTAATAGTAGTAGCAGCAGTAGTAGTAGAAGAAGAAGAAGAAGCAGAAGGCGAACGAGTATCCTTAGAGACTGCATCTTGGCACGGCACGACACGGCGGCCAATTGCCGGAAATCGGCGGCTCCGGGCGACGTCAAAGTCAGGTCGAAATCACAAGTATAAAAGAAGCAAATAGTAGAAGAATCGAGGCGACAGTGCGAAACAAGAGAAAATAAATAAATAAGAGAAAGAGTCAAACTGCAAGGAAGATGGGAAAGGAGAAGAGGACCGAGAGGATATCTTTGAATTTCTTTCTCTTTTATCTACCCTCTCTATTGCACATCCGCTTCTTTAACGTGAGACTTGAAGACTTACTGAGAATCAACACCCTGGGCCTCCTCATGTCCGAGCACCACTTTAAGGACGTTTCACACGATGAAAATGTATTTAGGATTTAAACATTCCACATCCCGTACGAATCTGGGAAATTGACAATGAATAACAGTGAGTGACACACGTATTCGAATTGACTTTCACCAGATTTACGAGTAAACTATTCTCATGAGATATAAACCAGAGCTCGTTACCTTGTAGACGACGTAGAAGGCTGAACGTAGTACGTAAAGCGTAGAACCTCCAGGGGATGCCGACGACCAAGTCTTGCCTGACAATACGTTACAGCAAACAAGGTGCTCTAATAGAGTGCGTGGCTGAGACCGCGTTTCGAATTCCCAATTATCGTAGTTGACTCGTTGGCAAAGGTTTTCTTCGAAGGTTCAGTCATGACGATTTTTATACACTGACAGCATCTGCATTTCTCGCGCATAACGTGGCTAACAAGTATAGAAATATATACGACGACAACGTACGTACGTAAAACCGAGAGCCTGTCATTCTAGTTACGCTCTCTACGGACTAACTAGAGCGGAAGCCGGGTGGCCGCCATTGTATAGCCAAGATTGGTCTACCCCATGGCTCCGGATTAAGTCAGCACGTTGCATATACTCTTACTTGCACACGCGTTAAGGAACACTGTTCACTTCTGAAAAAGGTAACAGGTGCGGAACCCACTCGACTACCACTCGAATGCAACCAGATGAACATCCACCTCCATCTTGTTTTCTTCCTACACCATTGTCACCGTCTTACGAACAATACTAATTTATACACAAACCGAGCACCGCACAACAGTGACGCCACAAACAATCCTACACCCGAGTAGAATGCACAAATCAGTCCGTCACGTTAACTCGTCTTTATCTACATTAAGTTTCTACAGTTAAAAGTATGTAATACACTTTTCCTTAACTTATGCACAAAGGCATGCAAGTTGCAACTGGCGTCCTCCGTCCTTCTCCAGTGGGATGAACGGAAACTTCGTTCCGTCATACTAGTAGATATTACCAGTAGCAAAACGGAACGAATTTTCCGTTGGACCCAATAGGTTCGACGTCACCCGCCAGTTAGCGCCACAGGCGCTTCTTCCTTCTCTTTCGTCGTTACGTTTAAACGGTACAAAAGTATTTGTATCGGAGTATAAAAATGTACTATTTGCAAAAGTTTTTTCAATTACAAAATGCCTTTCGTTTAATTGTACTATATCTTACAAGTAACTTCTGTTGAGACTAAAAAGATTAAAGTGTTTACCTGTGCTACGCGTCTCCGAATAGAACAACTCCTCGCAGATGGAGTTTGCCAATTGTGGTAACACTCGATCCTAGACATAACACTCGAACGAGCTCTATGAGTAACACTCCAGTCTGGTAGACAGGCGTACAGATACAGGTATACTATTTTCTCTCTATTTCTCAGCTACACACGTTTTAATACAGTTATACCCTGTCTCTCTCGGTAACCATAGAAACTTTATAATACCAGCTCTCTCTACGTCTTTTTCTCACTACGAAGTTAATTAGAGGAGCAGAAAAAGTTGAGAAAGGACGAAGGAGTTTTGGTCGAATATAATGTGTGTCTGGAACCCTTTTATTTCTGGATTCTCTATTAAATACAGTCGCTCTGGTAAGTTGTTCTCGAAAAATTCTACACGTGCTCGAAAATGAACGTGTCTCTTACGTAGAGAATTGATTCTATTCTTAGATAGGCCTCGTTTCAAAGGTCGTGTCTGCTTAAGACGTATAATAAAGATATTAATAAATAAATTTCGAAAGGAATGAACCGTGACCGCCGATACGGTCTCTTTGTGAGGCCCACATGAATAGTCTCTATTAAAAAGATCATTCACAGGCTCTTTTTGGATCACATACTTTTTTACTCCTATTATTATTTACTTTCATTATATACAAGAAGGTCGTGGGTGTTTTCTTAAGAGGAAATTACTTGCAGCAAGAAGAATCCCCTATTTGATGGCAAACGTAATGCCAGTACTCACTTGACTGACTTCTCGACGAAAAGTTACGATGCAATTAATTTCATGATTCATTTTAATTGCCAATATTACTTTAGCGGACTGTACGTTACTGTGGGTGAAAACTGCGCTCAACGTCTATATTTATAAGGCGTACCTGGACAGCCTCGATCCTTTGTAATTAAAATAATAAGATTAATGTTTCGTGTGCCCGTGCGCAAATTGAGCATTTATACATATGTAACTGTCAGCTCAGAAGACATAATGACTTTTCGTATAATTTCAAATTAAGGTATGCACTTTCGCAGCCTTGCGGCGTGCCACGTAATATGAATATGGCGTTTGCAGTAATTTATAGTCTGTACTATTAAAGGAATGCTTTCCCTTTGACTTTTTCTTTCTTTTTTACTTTTACAACAGTTTCCTATTAAATCAATAGTGTCTGTTTGGGTGAAGTATAGTTTACGATACTTTCGACATTGAAATCAATAGACCTAGAATTTCCGAAGAAAATAAATTTCCTCCTAACAACTTGCTAATAAAATATATTTTACAGATTTTCCTAATAGATTTTCTTGAGCGGATAAGACATTTCAAATAATTGCACTTGAAAAGTTGAGTATTCACTTCACTTTCTACCTTAACAATGTAATTTGCTTGAATACAAAAAGCCTTTAGAGTCCCTGAACTGTAAACAATTAAAGGTATTTCTAAATAACCAACAAATATAATTAGTTTACAAGAGCATATCGATAAATTTAAAAAGAACATTCTAAGCTTTTCACGTAGACTCCATGAGAAACTTTTATTTATATTAATAAACACAACGGACAATAGACTTTAGTAATAAATATATCTAGATCACCCTCGATCGAATTATCGACTTATGACTCACCTACTTTTTCTTACCACTGTTTTAGAAAATGGAAGATCCAACTCGCATCAGAGTGTCCAACTCGTGTCAGTTTGCTTCGTCGAGTCAGCAAGGACTTCAGGATCCTAAGAGGAGTCCAGTAACGATATAAAGTTCAGCTACTGAAAGGATCGCATTCCGATGTCAATCTGAGAATATAGCTGCTTCGCGGAGACAAGAATACTTGGTAGAAGTTCCATTTCCAGCTTGCAATTCTTGAAAAGTCCAAGGGCTCTCAATTCGTCTGAAGTATCGAATCGTTCGATCAAAAGCACTGGGACTGTGGATATCGCAATGGAAGTAACACGATTGACCATAAACGTCTCATTAGCTTGCTCTACCTCCTTCTACACGCTCCAACCATTTTTCATCTAGACTGCAATAGTACCACCTACTTTGGTATCTACGTACGTACATGCATACTTTCCTATCTAGCTATCTACCTACCTACTTTGTACTTCTGTTTCCAAGACGATAACCCACACAAAGCCGTATATCCTTTCTGTGCTTGAAACTTTTTCCTTTTTGGCTTTCTTTTTTTTTTTCCTTCTGGCCACTTTATATCATCCGGTGTGGGTCGGAAGGGTCTGCCTACAATTCTCGCATATAATATACTGCTGGTTAGAAGAATAGGCAGCCAGGCGACGTACTTAAGTCTCGAAGAGCTATTGTTCTAAAAGCCGCTCTTGCCTTTCAAACTTGGAGCGAGGCGGGCAACCTTCTGTTCATGAAAACGTCAAAATCTTCAATATTATATAGAAAGATTTTTAGGCACTGTCGAGCATGAACGCTTGTGAATCTTTTGCCAAATTTTTTGCAGATTTGACTATGGTATTTGAGGAACTCGCATTTACCCATATCTCTCTTTATCTTAGTCCGATGGTTGTACACATGATTTTGGTATGGTTGCATGCCGTACGAAAATCTTTTGCAAAAGAAATTATATTTTCTAGTTAACTATTACTGTGCTTAAAATATATCGTTTGTGGGTGGTAATAATATTACGTCAATTTATTTCAGTTTTTTATCATTTAAATATTCCATAGAAATTTAACGTGAATACATTTTTTTAGTGGAAACAACCACTTTGAATATATAAATAATGAAATTTAATTTAAATATACATTACAGTACATGGATAAATTTCAGGAGAATTTTTAATGTAGCTAAATATACATTGTGTACAATATATAATTTTGTGTCAAAATTGTATCTCGCGCGAAGAGACATTTTGTTGGTAATGGCTCTTCAGTGTTAAACACCAGTAAATTACCGTAATTTTCGATTGGCGTTCGGATCCATGTAATAACGAAAACGAATTTTTGATATGTCCAGCCATTAAGCCGATTTATTATTTCGTCAGGCAAACTTACCGTTGTGATTATTAGAGCAATTAAAAAATCGATATCCCAACGTTACGGGCAAGCCACAATGACATTTTTAAAAAGCAATCGAAAAATAAGTTTGTTAAATCCTGGATACGACAGTAATTCCCAACTAAAATATACCCATTCAAATCTGCAATAAAAATTGGTAACTACATGCTAATGGTACCTATACACTGTCGTTATTTCTATTGAATTTTATAGTAACTAACCTAACTTAGCGTTCGGCTTGAAAAAATAAACACACAATAATCGAACACTGCGTATTAAAATTACTCGTAGATCGAACTGGCATAAGTCCACTCATCGATCATACTTATCGATAATTCTAACCGAATAGGTCCAACCCTATTGCATTAGAAAGTCCTTAAGTGAGCAACACGACAGGTATACCTAGTAGCAATTGCTGCTCGTTTGTCAATTCCGCCACTGAATTATTAACGTTGCACTTAAAATGGTCGCCGCTGTTTTGCAATTCACCGAGTGCGCGCACCGTTCGCGAACCCCTTTAAAATTTTGAATTTCAAATTCAGAATCGCAATGCAATCAAGAATTCCTATAGATCGAATATTTTGTATAGGATAAGAGGCTTGGTTTCTTTTGAGAATTTATCTTCAATTCTTTTGTTTTTCGACTTCTTAGTTTTTCTCGAGTAAAATGAAAAAAGAAAAAAAATCTGACTGATCAACGATAACTTCTTATCGGTAAATCGGTACGGTTCAAAAGGACTTTTCCTTCGGGTCCTTTTCCTCTTCATTTTATCGCCACTTATACTTCCCATCTACGGCAGAAGTACTCTTTACGTGAAGATCTCTTCGGAAATCCTTCTAGAGGTCCTGAGGACTGATCCGTCTTGAACTCTACGTAACATTTAATGATGAAAGGACTCCGCAATTTGACGTCATAGCTCGTTTTATCTTATCAAATGATATTTACGAGAAGACGAAAATACTGGTTATTTAGTATCGACTTACCGAGATAAATAGTTTAATTACGTAAGTCCTCACAAGTTACATAAGCACAGTATAATCATAACTCTCGCATTAACAGCGCGCGATAATTGACAAATTAGAAATTTCGAACTTCGTTAATTGAGTTTACTCAAACGACACTCGAACGTAACCCTAAATACATTGAAGTTCAAAAAAAAAAAATGTAACGCGTAAACTCACCGAGGTAAAACGTACCGATAAGTGAAAAGTATTTTGAAAAAAAAAAAAAAATTCAATTTAACGTCAAAATATATAAAATTTTTATAGACGTCATAATATGGCGTATATCCGATAGCCTTAAATGGCCAATAATGAAATTGCCGATGGACGCCGTAACAAAATAAAAATATAAAAGCACAACAAACAGTGAAGTAATCTAAAAAAAAAAAAGAGAGAAACTAAACAAGCATCCTGATTGCGATCCATTCCTGCGGCCTGGTAAGAAGGGAACAGGAGTATTTAGCAGTACGGAATTTCGCCGAAAGATTCCTAGGGTGGATATCAGGTCCGAGTTAATCGTCATAGTGGAAACGCCGAGAAGAGCAAAAAAGGAGAGCCAGTACGAGTGCCAGGGTCCAGAGAGACCACCTCACGAGACTACTCCGGCGGTCAGCAGTGCTAATACCTTCGGCGTAACCAAAAAGTAGGATCCGAGGGCCAAGTGGACTTGACCGAACTGGGACTGAGTTGGGCCCCAACTGGCCGTGGCCGAGCACGAGACACATAACGCCAAAAGATGCAGAACGAGAGGACGAAGCCGGGCTCCTCTCGGCGCGTACGCAGATATATTCCCCAGAACAAAATCGGAAGGGTTATGATACGCGTGTCAAATTTGGACGGGGCCCAAAGACCGCCCACGCGGTGAGAGCGTAAAAGGGGCCCGCTCGATCGGGCCGGGGCCCCCCTCGTTTAATTATCGTACCTACGCCATGCTCGTGCACGTAAATCACTTGGCCGATGCGATTTCGTTTTATTTCGCCCGTCTTAACCCCTTTTCGCGAGGAGGGTACCAGAAGGGGGGCCCCCTTTCTAAAATACGACGGGCCCAGAGTTAATACGGCATTTAATCGGGAATGTGTGGGCACAACATGCTGGCGTGCCATAACGGAGTGTACCAGGGCCCTCTAAGCTAATTATGAAATATAGCCTTCCCATTGGCAGAGCTCACGGGTACACCTAGTGTCACGTGACCTCTGAGCTCATCCGCTTTACGGCCATCCTCTTGCAAGGTGACCCCCACAGGGCCCCCGTGACATTTGACCATTAACCATCGTGAAAATTTTAAAGAAAATCGCAGGGACCTCTGCACCGGGCCCAATCAAATATACCTCGGGCCTGACATATACCTAAAAGTGTCTGGGCAACCGGTAACTAATGAAAATACTCATTTATCCCTATAAAAGCTTATATACATTTATTTGGCAGACCCCAGCCAATCAGCTTCCGCAATTAAACTTCTTACTTGCTCTTACGCTCATCCTCGGCCCGACATCATTGGTCCAGTCGTAAACCAATCCACGCGAACACGCACGCCTGTAACGGTACGTGAACCGCCAATAAGAGCCTCCCTTTAAAACGGGGCCTTACTTCGGTCCGAAGGGACCTACCTTGTGTCTGCTCCTTTAAAAGATCGCGACTCTTAAGCCGCATTAGAGCGCGACCCCCTATCCTTATTTCGAATCCACGACCACCGTGCCGGTCTTATGTATAATTAAAGCCGACACTATCTTACGCCCAGGAACAAAGAGTAGTTCGTATAACACGCATGCCCTCTAATCGAGAATATGATACGTGCATTATACTCTTTCTCAGCCTCGAATATAAGCCCTATTCGACAAGATTAAAATCTTACTACGGAGTGGATCCAGCTGACACGCTGGCTACATGAAAATGCTATCAGCCGCTCGACTACCGTCCCTTCATTGTCGATGCCGATCCCGTTCCCAGATTTATTCATGCGTCTTACATATCCGACATTACGTTATCACTACGAAATACCAAAGCATTAATATCACCGTTGCCAATTGGCACGACGTTAATCTTCGATCCTGGACCTCAGTGAACTCCCTTTCGTCGTCCTTCGCCGGTGGGTATACCTTAAGCAAAAAAACAAAGAATTTACGTACATTCCTACCTGGAATTCTCCACCAAATCGATCCTCTCGCGGAGGATGCGCTGGAAACAATCGAAAGGAAATGAAAGAGACGGAAGATCAACATTTACTTGCACGCTACGCCGTGTGAGATTTACTTGTACATATTTTTTATTTTTTTTTTTTTCTCATTTATCCGTCATTATCTTTCTGATCGGCACGCCATACTATCTCTTTCTCTCTCTCTCGCACAGGTGCTTTACAGATCGTCCTATCGACCGTTCAAAATGAAAACCTGCTATCAGGTAATCGGCCACAGTGAGAGCTCAATCCATTTCCAGGAAGCCAATCAGCAAGTTCTCGATGTGCCCGGGCCCCTGTTTTCTTTGGGACTGATGCCGATACTGATCGGAGCGGATCGAACGAGATCTCAGAGCGCATTGGTCCCGCTTCGCAGATTCCTATTTATCTGCTTCTTGTAACACGGTGAGAGGGAGCGAGAGAGAGACGGGTGATGGTTAACAAGCGTCAACGTATCTTAGCTCTCGTGGTATTTCGTCTAAACGGCAGCACCGATAGAGACATAAAATGTAAAGGGAGTAAGGGCGCGGGGGGGGGGAGGTCGTTGAGTGAAGAACGAAGAGCGAAAAGAGTACAGTGTTGGAGTCGAGAGAACTAAGAACTAAAGCAACGCTCCTGAAGCTCTCTCTCTCTCTCTCTCTCTCTCTCTCTCTCTCTCTCTCTTCCCCTACCTCTTTCTCTCACCACTCTCTCAGCGCAACGATGTGTGTGGTCCATCGTGCCAGCCGCCAGGCCCGACTCGCTAATAACACACCCCTCTTCTGTCGAGCCACTCTGCGAACCACCTTCGCCCCTTGGAAGAAAAAAAGAAAAGAAAAAAAAAAGAAAAAAAAATCATCCGACAGATTCGAAAGCCA